TTTTTTGTTATTACACAACATCGACTTGATTAGTAAAATAATGACTTTTTATATCACCGGAGTTATTCAATTATTTTTGCCGATCATCAGGTGAAGCGATACTTTTTTCCAGTGACTGTATGTCAACGCCCTTATACTTGGGCTAAGTGATTGACCGACTTAGTATTGGCGATTATCGCGACTTTATATAGATCGACCGACTTATCGATTTTTTTTAAATAGTAAAAAAAAGGTGGTGAAACTTTTTAGGCCAAAACCGACTTATCGAGTTTACATATGTAATAATTTCACTAAATTAATTCTGTTCTTAACGTTGAAAAATTGTGAATGAATAAAAGAATGGGAAATAAAAAATTTTTTAATATATTTTGATATGCACCCCACTAAATTCATTCAACATCAACATCATTATTATGGATTATGTGTTCATTGTTCTTTATTTTCCCACCTCTCTTTTTTAAAAAACATTACTTTGTCCTTTTTTTCAATCATCACATCCTTTCGTTTTTATTCACACTTGCATAATAATATTATTATTAACAATTAGTAAAAACTTTTGGAATCACATCAAATTGCATAAAATAAAAATGGTTAAATAAAGATAAAATTTTTTTATCTAAACAATGAATATATTTTATCTCAAACAATGAATATTTTTTTAAAGTTTCTGACGTTCCGATCAACTAATTTATTATTATTCAGTAATTCGAGTACTTATTATTTACATGTGCGTGATAAACAATGAATATATTTTATCTCAAACAATGAATATTTTTTTAAAGTTTCTGACGTTCCGATCAACTAATTTATTATTATTCAGTAATTCGAGTACTTATTATTTACATGTGCGTGATATAATTGCAATTTGTTATCTGATTGTTCTCATTTTAACAATTCCCCAAAAGATTGATTATGCATACAATAATAATAATGATGATGCTGAATCTTTTTGGCAGATTATGTTACAACATGAGAAGAGGAATGTTGACATGTATTATGTATGTATGCAAAGAAAAAAAAAGCGGGGTCGTGTAACTTGGATGGTTTTTTGTTATATTAAAAATAACCACCTTATTCTATCGCACAAAGAATCCAAGTTATTAATCTAGCGAATCGGCATAACCAACAAATCAATGAATTGACAAGTTGACAGATTTAACGGATTACGGTGGCTAGAATTTAGGTAGAAAAGGCAAAAAGATATATGATTTTGGTAATATATAGTAGTAAAGTATGAATAAATCAAGGAAATCAAAAAAAACGGGTTAGTTTGATGATTATGTCATGCAAGTTTTAATAGTTATGGCGGGCTGTTTCACGTAATTTGTTGCAGCATCTTACGAAAAAAAGTAACTTTGTTTAGTATTATCATTATATATGTAGTATATATTTTACTCTATTTAGTTTATTTTCTTTTTTGCTTTCTCGCTCTCTTTAATCACGACTACCACTATGTCTCTACTAACATAATTTCTACCCCAAATAATCAGCCTGATTCAATTACTATTGGATGATTCAATGTTTTTTTTTTGAAATAGGCGAGAGGGACAATTGATGGCGATATTAAAAAAGGTGGGGTGATTTAATATATATATATATTAATAATATTTCTTTTAAAAAAAGGACCAATTATTATTATTGTAGAATGCAAATGCGAATGCAATGTTAAATAATCTAATCATTAATTGACTTACCAAATTCTTTTTTAATTATCAACTTTTTGTCGGAAGAAATATTAATCAGGCAAAGAACAAAAACTTGAAATTCACAAAAATATTATTGATATTATTGTTCGGTTGCAATTTATTAATTAATAATAATAATAATAATAATCGCAAGG